ACCATACCCAGTCTCATTGCCATCTCAGTGTACCCTGTGGGTGGAGCCAGCCTGGCACACTGGGACTGATCCCTGGCTGCTGCACTCTGTCTAAGCAGGCACTGTAGTCCAGTGAGCTATCAGGCTGGCCCCCTTAGTTGAGAAGGATTTTTTTTTTTTTTTTTGGCTGGCTCAGGCTGCCTCAAGGGCGGGTCTGGTAAGGCATGTGAAGCTGGGGATCGAACCCCAGTCTCCTGTGCCTGACTGCATTTGCCCGAGCAGGCACTTAAACAACTGAGCTAACACATAGGCCCCATCTTTGCAAGTTTTAGATGTTGGTATGGTCTCCCAATTCTGCCAAGTGCATACTTGTAACTGTGACTATGAAATTAAATTGCTAGTAAATCTACACATCATGGTTCACAGTGGTCTTTCTGTTTGCATGTCACGAGCAATAGTTCTTCGATCTTAGCCAATGGAATAATCATACCTAGCCCCACCACCCCATTTTTATGAATTTGCATGTTGGTCCCACTGTTCTCTAACTTTAGCTCTGTACATCAGGGACCTCTAAACAGAAGATCAGTAGGTGATAATCACAAAAGTCTCACTAAAGCCACCTGCCAGGCATGAGGCAGTGTGTGGCAGGCCAGTACTGCAGGTGGGAAGAGAACAAACCAGTAACAGGAAGGCAGAGAATTTTTTTTTTTTTTAATTTTAGTACAGGGTCTACAGGGTCTCATTACACAGATCAGACTCAGTGATTCTCCTGTTTTTAGCTTTCTGAGTGCTGGGATTACAGGCGCACACCCCCACGCCCAATCTCAATAGCATTCTCTGTCTCTGTCTCTGTCTCTGTCTCTGTCTCTGTCTCTGTCTCTCTCTTTCTCTCTCTCTCTCTCTCTCTCTCTCTCTCTCTCTCTCTCTCTCTCTCTCATGCTGGGGATCGAGTCCAGGGCTTTGTGCACGCAAAGCAAGATATCTACCACTGAGCCCCAGCCCCAGCCTGAACCCTCTGTTTCTGAAAGTCAGGTGATTTCAGGTTTTTGTTTGTTTAGCACTGTGGACCCAGGACTGGAGCTGTTGCCTGCTGGAGTGCTGTGAATCATATTTTAAACTAGATCTCTGGGGCTGGCCAGATAGCTCAGCGGACTAAAGTGCCTGCTTAGGCAGAGCGTAGGAACTGGGGTTCAATCCCTGGCACCACAAACTGTGCCAGCCCTGCCCCCAGGTTGCGCTGACACGACAACTGAGACTGGGCATGGTGGAGTACACCTATAATCCCAGCACTTGGGAAGCTGAAAAACAGGAGGATCGCTATGAGTCCGATCTGTGTAATGAGACCCTGTAGACCCTATATTAAATACAAAAACAAACAAACAAACAAACCTCAGTCGATAGGACACCCTCATTAAAAACCCATTAAAAAATCCTTATTTGACAGACTCTATCAAAAACCTAAGTCCTCCCATTCTTTTCTACTACTACTATCTTTACACCTACAAAATTTTACTGTGTTTATTAACTATGTCACTTATGGATCATTATGTATGCTGTCTTGATCAACTGTATGCTATTAATAATAGTAATGGTAATTCAACCCAGAAAACGTAGAGGATTACACTCGCAGGCAAAGAAAACTTAGAAAGCTTTTTTGTTGTTGTTTTGAGACACAGTCTCACTAATGTAGTTCAGGCTGGCCTTGAACTCACTATCTGTAGCCCAGATTGGGCTGGAACGAGGGGAGATTTTCCTGTCTCAGCCTCCGGATTGCTGGGATTACAGGCCTGAACTACCATACCTGGCTAAACCTTTTTTTTTATGTAGTTAGCCAGTTGCCATTTACTAAGCTACTGATCTTGGGTTTTTAAATCTTCTAAATGAGGATATACTTCATAACTCATATTTTGTCACGCAATTAAAAGTTAATCTGAAAAAATAAAAATAAAATAAAATAAAATAAAAGTTAATCTGTACTATAAAAGGCCTCGGCACCCCTAGGGGGCGCACGTTAGCACGTCCGAATGCGCCTGTTCCTGGCCCCGCGGTCCCTCTCGGCTTCCGTAGAGCACGAGCAAGATGGCAGCCTCCGAGATGGTTAGGCTGCGGCTTCAATTTGACTATCCGCCACCAGTCACCCCACACTGTACGATCTTCTGGCTTCTGGTCGACATGGACAGGTGCCGAGTCGTTACGGATCTCATCAGCCTCATCCGTCAGCGCTTCGGCTTCAGTTCCGGCGCCCTCCTCGGCCTCTACCTGGATGGGGGGCTCTTGCCTCCCGCCGAGAGCGCGCGCCTGCTGAGGGACAACGACTGCCTCAGGTGCGCGCGGCCGCGGGGTGGGGGCGGGGCGGGGCGGGGAGCGACGCGCCTGCGCGCGCGCTCGCGACTCGGGGACAGTGCTCGAGCTGCCAGCGAGGCACTGTGTTCCCCGGGGTGTTGAGCGGCGCGGGAAACCCGGCTTCCCTGGGCTGATCGGGGGTCGCGGGCTGCGGGAGACCAGGCTGGCAGACAGGGACCGTCGCCATGTCTTCATCGTAGCGAGTTCTTCTCTTTAGGCCCACTGCAATGTCCCCAGAGGCTCCAACGGTGTGTGTGTCGTTCTGCGTCTCACCTGGGGGTCTTGGGTTCTCTCAAATAGGGTCCTTTCCCGCAGTGACTAGGGACACACTAAATAATTTTAAAGATGTTTTTGGAAGTGTAAAAAGCGGATACTGAGGTGAGTATCCAGGATCCCACGTGGTCGAGTTGTCTCCGGAAGGTGATGAGTTGTGATCGTGTCCGTGCTGATTTGTTATATTGACCCGATCCCAGGCGGTGAATTATCCTAGCGTTGTGAATGAGGCTTTCTCTTGTTTGCCTTGTTCTGTTTTGCCGTGCTGGGGTTTGAACCTAGGGATCTGGGCATGGTAGACAAGTACTCTGCCACTGAGCTACGTTCTCGGCCCTTTTGATTAGGTGTTTTTTTGTTTTTTGTTTTTTTGGCGTTGAACCCAGGCCCTTGCGCTTGCCAGGGAAGCGCTTATTCCACTGAGCCATCTCCCCGGCCCCCTTTTGATTAGTTATTGTGAGACAGTGTTTTGTTAGTTGCCCAGGCAAAACTTAACTTGCAGTCTTCTGCCCTAGCCTTCCAGATAGTGAGGATGAACGTCCTGTGCCACTATGCCTGGAGCCCTTTGTGTTGGGTATTGTTTTCCCTAGAGTATATCAGGATCATGCACTGGCCAGATAGCTCAGTGGATTAAAGCGCCTGCTTAGGCAGACGCAGGGCCGGGTTTGAGCCCCAGTGTGCCATGTCCCCCACCCCCAGACTGCCATTGAGACTGGGCGTGGTGGCGTGTGCCTATAATCCCAGTGCTTGGGAGACTGAGAACAGGAGGATCACTGCAAGTCTGATCTGTGTAGTGAGACCCTATAGACCCTGAATTAAATACAAAAAAAATTTTTTTCTTCAGAACATCAGGGACTTTCTCTTAAATCAGGAACACTGATTTATTAATAATATATAGCTGTTTCAAATAGCAATTTGAAGTAGACATTCTTTTCCCTTTTTATTGTCTAGGACTACATGCTCTGGGCAATTCAGGTGTGATTTATTTTTATTTATTTATTTGTATTTTTAGGGAAGGGTCTACAGGGTCTCACTACTAGATCGGACTGGTAGTGATCCGCCTGTTTACAGCCTTCCAAGAGCTGGGATTACAGGCGTGCACCATCATGACCAGTCTCAATTGCCCTCTCAGCCTGCTCCTGGGGCTGGGCCTGCACAGCAGGCCTGGAGATCAAACCCCGGCCCTTGTGCTTCTTGCAGATGCTTTAATTCGCTGAGGTATTTGGTCGGCCCTCAGGTGTGATTTAAATACTATAGTTGTTAAGGGCCATGTCCTAATTAAGTTTGCTTTTTGAACTTTCCTCTGCCTAATGAATTAATGACTTGCTGCTAGCTGACCACAGTTACACTTCAATGTATGAATCATCTGGGAATTATATTCCTAATAGTGAAAATAACAGTGTCAAAACAAACATGAAAGCTGTTAATAGCCAATAATTGCAGCGTGACGTCAGGCGTATTCTTAAATGCTTCAAATGCACAACTGCATATGGCAAGAACTCCCTGTTCCAGGGCTGAGCGTGCAGCTCAGTGGCACAATGCTTGCCTGCTGTGTCCCCTGGATTTGATCCCTCACTCTGTAAAATGAGAGCTAAATAACTATTTCTGCAGCTGGCATCACTGGTAAGTGGAGTAGACCATAGGAAAAGACTAAATTTGAGAAGTTGGGGATTTTTAAAAATTTCGTGCTCCTAATTGTGAAGGTGCTAATGTGGCCGTTGTAAGCCTCAGCCAGGCAGGAGGGAGGTGCAGGGACCTGATGGGGCCAGCAGGTGAAGCCTTCCCCTTGAACCTTCCTTGTTGAATTTGATCCTCCATCTGGGACACCCACATTAAAAACCCATTAACTTCTCTGTCAGAGGACTAAAAGCTTTCATTGTTTTTTAAAGAAAATCAGAGCTGCCGTTCAGCTATCGCTTGCTGTGAGCCAGGCGTGCTGTAATGTGGAACAACCCATTTGAGCACTGTCATTATTACCGTTATCATGTTTACAGATGAGAAGTGTTGAGGTCATGATTTTTCAACATCAGTAACAGTGGCAGGATTTGAACACAGGCAGTCATGTTGATCTTGACAGGCAGTGAGGTTGGGTGGCAGGCGAGGCAGGTGGGCAGGTCAGTGTCTCAAAATCCTATAAGCAAAACTGCAGATCTAAAGAGGATGCTTGCATTTTTTTTTTTTTTTTTTTTTTTTTTTTGCTTTGCAATCTGTAAATTTATTGAGTAAAACAAAATCAGTATCAGACACACTCAATTTGGGCTGGTCCAAATGTCACTGAGGTCCATTTGCAACAGACAAGAACTGAGGTAAAGAAGGTACTATGTTGTTGGGAAGGGCATGGAGAAAAAAATTTTTCCAATAACTAAAGCAGGCATCACACGCCAATGTGAGTCAGTTAATTTATGAGGGGACTCAACATTTAATGTGCAGGGCTAAATCAAGACAAGCATGGAACACTGGGAGAGAAGGGGGCACCACCCCTCAGACGGCAGGCTTGTAGCAGAGGCTGGCTGGAGAAGAGCTGTCAGGGCAGAGCTGCCGGATCACTTGGGGAACACGGTGACCACATCATAGCCGTCAGGTGGTGTCACCTGCTCCCTGGCATGCTTTTCACAGTAGATCTGATCCTCTACAAAGAAATGGCCCTTCTGCTTCAAGTTGGTGCTACAGTCGGTGCACACATAGCACTCAGGGTGGCGGTGGCGGTTACGGAGCTTCACAAACACACCAACAATGCCAGTGCCACAGTTGTCACACATGGGCAGCTTCTGAGCATTTCTGACAGATGCTACCACCTTGGTGACTGGAGCTTTAACACTTCTGAACCCTGAGGGCTTGTTGGGATCCCCTTTCTCCTCTGACTCCAGGATTTCCTGCAAAACCAGGAAGGATGCAGACTGTTTGGGGGGCTCATTTAACTCCTGTTTCTCCTGAAGCATCTTGTAAGCTTCAGATTCTTTGTCAGTGATGAGGCTGCCAGAATGCTGAGAATGATCTACGGGCCTGCCATTCGCCTCTTCTCCGCTGGCTGCAGTCTTTGGCTCCACAGCACTGTTGAAGCTAGAGATGTTTTCAGACGAGTAGAGGCCAGCAGGGTTGTTGTACTGGTTCTTGCTGACTCTGGGGCAGTGCTGGAGGCAGGGGGGCAGTAAAGGGCATGGCGCTTCGGTTGTGGGCACTTCCTATATGCTGGACCTCTTGGGGTTCAGAGGCTAAATTCATCTTGTCCGGATGGCGCTTCCCCTCCTCGGTCACTAGAGGAGACCAGATTTTATGTTCAGATCTGGTTACTGTGACAGTCATGTTGTCCATGCAGCCCTTGATTTTGTTCTGAGCTTCCAAGTACGTCATGTTGCTGGTGTTTTCTCCATCGATCCCTGTGATTATATCTCCAATACATAAATTAGCGGTGGCATCTTTGCTTCCGGCAGTGACCCGGGAAATGGCGAGAGGCTGCTCAAAGTCTTTGCCGCCCACCAGGCAGAAGCCCCAGGGTCCCGGGCCCTGAAGGACGATCTGCTGGGTGCCCATGGCGCTGTGCAGATGGTGACCTCCAGGGGCAGATGGAGAGGACGGCTCGGTGCGCAGGGACCCTGGAGTGGCTGTCAGAGGAAGAGCACGCCTGCATTTTGGAACTACTACCCAATGTGCCCTGCAAAGAGTTGGAATGAAAAGCAGAAGACCTATTCTAGAAATTCCTTGGATTCGAATTTCTTTCCACCACTAATTATCTGGATAATTCACTTCTGTTTGTAGGAGGGCAGCATTCACTTTTGTTTGTTTCTGTTTGTTGTGATGCTAGTAGAGAACTGAACCGTATTAAAATAAACGTATCCCCTGAAAGGATGGGAAATGAAGCAGACTCAGGAGCTGTGCCTTGCTCTCTTTGCTATCTTCATTGTTTCCCTTTCCTCCTCCCTAGCAATTCTGGGGATCCGAGCCAAGGCACTGGGCATGGCAGGCAAGCAGCCTACCACTGGGCTGCTTCCCCAGCTTGCCTGAATATTCCCTAACCTGAACTGCACTTTGGCGAGGGCCCCAAAGTCCTTGGCCATCCGTCTCAGTCAGATGTGCACAGGCGCATCCTCTCCAGCATGGGTGGGATGACGCCAACAGCTGCTTTAAAGCCCACTAGTGCTGTCAGCTCTGGGAAAAGGCAGGGCCACTGCCTAAACCAGATGCTGCATGTGCTGTGACCCAGTCAGTGACTTAATAAACCGCAGCGACTGAGCAGAGAGTCTGGCACTGTTTTCACAGTTTGGTGGAGAGCTTGCTTCTAATTGTTCACCTTGGAATTGAAATTGGAATCATAGCCATGCTATAGGAAAAAGCAAATTGGTTTAAAATGCAAGGAAAAAAATCTGATATTCTGGGGTTTTTCTTAGGATGCCAGAATCATTTCTTGCTGCTAGATGCTGGGGTCTTCTAGAGACAGAGGGGAATGTGTTTAATGATTTAAATCCCTGGTCTTTCAGAGGTTTCTTCATTCTACTCCTGCTATTAGTAGCTTTTTTTTTTTTTTTGGGGGGTGGAACAGGGATTGTGCTTGCATGGCAAGCACTTATTCTACTGAGCTATCTCCTCAGCCCCTGTAGCTCTTTTATTTTATTGGCTTGTATGATTCAGTATAGTTATGTTTTCTGAAGAATAATTGAGACTTTTTTTTCAAATACCACATGGAGGAGGTAAATCCACAGGATTATTATGCTTTAAAAATTTTAAAGAATGCTTATACATATGTTCTCATTCATTAGTTATAGTTTATTTTTTAAGTATGATTGTCTACATCTTTTCCTGTTTGCTGAAAAGCTTGATGGAATATGTAGCTGGATATTCATGCATTGTAAGTATAATGTGTTTTCAGCTGGCATGTTGGAGCACCTGCTGTTTCTTCAGCTTTGAGGGCAGTCTGTCAAGCCTTGTCATCAGACCATACATAGGAGGTTTAGGTGTTGCCAGTTGAGGGAAGAAAATTGCTTTTGTATAGTGAAATAAATGTGGATGAAGGGGCCAGGGAGATGGCTCAGTGGAATAAGCGCTTCCCTGGCAAGCACAAGGGTCTGAGTTCAATCCCCGGTTCCACCAAAAAAAAAAAAAAAAGTGGATGAAATGTATACTAGGCCACTGGGGCTCTCCACAGAAATAGAGCTAACAAGAGACGCACACACATGCATGCGCATTCGTACGAGCGTGCACACACACAAACACACAATTTATTATAAGGAATTGGCTCACATGATTGCAGGAGCTAAGACCTCCCGAGATCTGCAGTCAGTCAGCAGGGCTCTGTGTCAGGAAGGCTGGCGGTGCCATTCTGAGCCCAGTCTGAGTCTGGGACGGAAGACCAGCGCTGTGGAGGAAGGGTCCGGCAGAGCAACAAGGCCCTGCTTCCTTTTTTGTTTTCCTCAGGTTTTCAGTGGATCGGACAGAAGCCTTCCTCCCTGAGCAGTTTCCTTAGTCTTCAAATTTCAGTGCTCACTCACCCAGAGCACTTGCACGGACACGCCCCAGAGTAACGTCTAACCGAGCATCTGGCCCTACAGCCCAGTCAAGCTGACACGCAAAATGAGTCATCACAGCCTGTTGTGGACTTCGGGGCTGCTATCTCTACCCTGGGGAGCATAAACCTGTGCTATTTTTCTAAACTGAAAATAAAATCACTTTATATTATTTTAAAATATTTCTGGCTGTGTTAGAAGTTGTCAATGGAATATACATCTCTGACAAAAGTAAACTAAGAAGGATATAAATGGACCATTTTGTAGTGGAAAAAATATATATCTATATATACAAAATAACATAAATATACAGCTACTTTCTCTTAGTTCAATGAGAAGGTTTTTGAACTAATAGTGTTTAGACAAGATATCATGTCTGCATCTTGTCCTAGGAATAACTACTACAAAGAATATGCAATGTATTATTGTAACTATACTACTAACCTGTTTTGAAATGCTCATTGCTACTTCTTTCTCAATAAATTATTAAAACATAAATATATATACATATATTTTTTCAGTCCACACCTAGTTATTGTACATATTTATGTGATGTAGGTTTCAGCTGAGCATATATATATATATATATATATATATATATATATACAGTGTAACCGTCTAATCAGGGTAGCTGGCATATCTGAATTGCCGACGTTTTGCATTTGTTTGGTAGGGGAATGCTTGCTAGTTATTGGAGATGCCCAGTTAATTGTTGTCTGTGAAGTTATCCTCCAGCACTGTAGGATGTTAGAAATTCCTCCTTTGACTCAGCTCTGTACCATCCTTCCTCCTAGATCCTTCCCAAGCCCTGATAAGCTCTCTTTTATTTTCTCCTTCTTTGACATAACCTTTTAGCTTCCACATATGTGAGAACATGTGGAATGTGTCTTTGTGTGGGTGACTTATTTTACATAACATAATATCCTCCAGTTCCATTCATGTTGCTGCAAGTGAAAAATTGTTGTTCTTTTTTATAGTTCAGTAATACACAATTCTGTGTATATGTGTGCATATTTATATGTTCTGCATTTTCCTTAAGTACTTATTTGTCAAGGGATATGTAGGTTGAGTCCATGTTTGCTTAAATTAGACATGTTAAAAATATAATCTCAGCTGAGCGTGTGACACACATCTGTAATCCCAGCATTCAGGAGGCTGAAGCAGGAGGGTTACTGTGAATTTGAGACTTGCCTGGGCTACACAGTAAGTTCAAGGCCAGCCTAGCTATGTAGTAAGACCTTGTCTCAAAGACCCCAAAAATAAATAAAATATCATTTTGAGAAAGGAAATACACATTCTACAACAAAAACAGATGATTAGCATGAGCCCCTTTTAGGGGAGGTGCCATGCGTGTAACAGAATGATGGCGAGTTTTAGAGTGAGACGCACTGAAGTTTGCACGCCTTCTGCTGCTCACCAGCTGTGGATCTTGGGCAGGCGGCCTGTGTGAGCTGTGATTCTGCAGCCTGTAAAGGGAAAGCTGCCTACTTTGGTGTGGTATTTAGGTCAGAGAACGTGTATAAAACACATTGGGGACACAGTCAATAGGAACTAAAACTGGCCCGATGAAAGCTGACCGTAAGTGATGCTACGTAGTCCATTTTGTCAAAAGGAGTCTCTTGCCCTTCGGGGATGTGACGCTTTTCATGGGCTGTTGGTGATGACGTTAGCAGATAGCTCCATCCTGGAGACAGACTTGAATCCGCTCACGCTAGCATTTGCTTATCCTGACAGAGTGAAGTTAGAAGAGAGTGAAGTTGCTGAGCTTTCTGTCCTAGTCAGCAATGGTGGCGACGCTCATTTATCCCCTGTGAAAGCCAAGAAGAGGCCTTCTAAGGTAGAGGAGGATGAAGAAACCGAGCTAGGGTACATACTGTCCAAGAAGCACTGGAAGAGGCAGGAGAACAGCAGCAGAAACGACAAGGAGTCGGAGCTGCACCCGAAGGCTGTCCCGGATCAGCCTGTGAGGAAAAAAAGCAAGCGGAAGAACAAGGCCACCTGTGACGCGGTAGACACTGACGACAGAGAGACCAGAGGGAAGTCACCGAAGAAGAAGGACAAGCGCGAGTGTAAGAAGCAGTCCAAGAACCGCAGGCCTCTGAAAACACAGGCAGTAAAAGAG